CACCTCTCTCTCAAATGGACCATTGACACTCTATCTACAATCTCAATTAGGAGTGTCAATGGTCCATTTGAGAGATAGGTGGCGGTAATGCACTTATAAGTCTGCGATCTGCCGTAAAGCAGGATATTGCAGTGAATCAGAGGTAAAAAACTGTACAAATACTGTTCAGATTCTTGCACAGACCGATCTTTTCGTGTCTTTATACATCAATGTATCGTCACAAGCCGCAGGGTTTAATTTGGTTTTGTTTGTGTATGTTTTTTTGACTCTCAAAGCCGTGATTCCCATTTACTTACATTATATGACTGACAGACTGCAATGGTTTGAGTTCAAAATCTTCGTTTGTGTTCTACTGAAGAAACAAAGTCACCTACATCTTGGATGCCCTGGGGGTAAGCAGATAAACATCAAATTTTCATTTTTGGGTGAACTATCCCTTTAAGTGCCAAACATTTTTCTAACCTCAATTTCATGCCCTCTCTTTAAAACCCCGTTCTCCAGAACAATGTCAAATAATCATTGACAGGCTAAAAAGCGCAGGGTGCTTCACCGTTCTACTGAGTCCGAGTTTGGTTTTGTCACAGAGACAGGCGTGATTTCTTAAAACACCTATTTCAGTTCATCTGTCAGGTAGTGAAAATAATTAAAACAAAATTAGAAATAAAATGATAATAAATCAAATAAAATGCTTGCAATGCACCGACCAAGCATGCACATCAGCATTTGCATACGTGCACAGAGTGTATTTCTGGCCTTTTAGTAAAACTTCAGTGAGTCTCCTGCAGTAGAAAGAGCACCTAAGTATCAAAATCACTAAAATACAGCAAAGTAGACCAAGTGCTCATGGGATACGAAACAAACAATTAAAGCACACTAAAAACAGAGTCTCATCTGATGTCCAGTATGTCATATTTCAATTTTAAGTGCATTTATTTTCAACTCCCTGCTAAAATATGTCTTAATAATTATAAAATGACCTGAACATAAAGTGTCACACCACCATAGTCCTTCTCCACTGGAACCGTCCTCATGTAGGAGGAGCAGACTTCATGTTGTTCCATTCAGAAGGAGGCGGCTGGAGGAAGTTTGCAGTGACACATGACTCAACACAGACGGATAGATGGATGAAGAATGAGAAGACGAGTACGGCATGTTTCTGGCCACCCCAGACCACGACTGCATCACTGATCAATTTAAAACATATGCATGCTAACAATTCCCCGTGAAAACCCGTCCCACCCCACCAGTCGGTGGTCTTTGAGGCTTAAATTATATCCAAACCTTTGGGCCAAAAAGTATTTTTCAGACATTGGAGGTTACAGGAGGTGCACTGGCCCGTGTGTGTTTGTGTGAGACCAGCTCGTCGAGGTACATGTGCGATGAATTATTGAGGATTTGCCCTGCAAACTGTTTCTTACTCAGTATTTTTGTCTGGTTTTTCATTAAAAATTATGGAAAATTATTAAGGAAAAAATAAACACCTAATTTTGATTAATGTTTAAATTGAGAAGCAAACCGATTTAAGATATTAGGCCTTGTTTTATGAAAAAAAATTTTTTAAGTGAGTTTATGCTTAAAACAAGAATAATATCTGTCAGTGGGTTAAGAAAAATAAACTTAATTCAAAGGGAACATTTTTTTATTAGCACACTGACATATTTTGTCTTGTTTTAAGCATAAACTTATTTAATTTTGATGATTTTTTTAATGATAATTAAAAATAAATCTCAATTTAAGTGTTTAGATATTTAAACAAGACTGATTAATTGATTCATTTTTCATTTGAGTTAGTTCATGCTTAAAACAATAAAAAAAATCTGCCAATGGGGTAAGAAAAAATATTTTTTCAAATATTTACATATTTTCTTATCTCACTGATACATATATGTCTTGTTTTAAGTAAAAACTCGCTTCATTTTGATTAATGTTTCAAATGAGAAGCAAAATGACTTAAGATATTAAGCCTTGTTTTCTGAGAAAAAAAAGAAAACATCAAAGTTGAGTTTATGCTTAAAACAAACAAAACAAATTCTGCCAATGGGGTAATAAAAATGGCTTAAAACAAGATTTAACGCAAGATCATTTTTCTTATTTCAGTGACAGATATTTTTCGTGTTTTAAATGTTAAAAAAACATTTAATTTTGATAAATTTTCTCTGAAAATGTCTTTTTGCTTCTCAAGCATCTTGATTTAAGAATATTTAGATATTTGTACTAAAAAATGGCAACAAAAAAAAAACTGAGTAAGAAAATGATTTGTTTTGCAGTGTGTAAACTGTGCACAAGAGCCCTGGTGTAAAACCTCAAAGTATCCAACCAAAAAAATAAAATAAAACATGACACGTTCACGAAATCAAAAATGCATCTACCGTCGTAGCGACTTTTTTACATTTCCTTTTTTCTTGTTTTTGCCGTTTTTCTCTTTTTATAGTATCGCTCAAGTATATCACAGGTTACTATCTAGAGAGGAAATAGAAGGTAAATTATGTTCCATGCTACATCTTGTTCAGAGAAGGCTATTGCAGACGATTTCTACATCACACACAATCACACGTTGTACGCTTGTATAACAAAAGATCCAAAACATGTCACCAAGAAACTAAATACATATGCATTGTTCACTATTTAGAGTCTTTTAGGACTATCCCTCGGTCAACGTGAAGCTGTCGCACGTCACTTGACTTGTCCCGTCTTACAGACAAAAGTTGAAAAACTGCTATTCAAAAATTAGCAAATTTGGTCATTGTCTCTCTCTTTTTTTGTTTTTAAATAAGTAGTGCTTTTTGATGGCTTAAGACAGAGGTCTTTTATTTCATAATCTCACCCAGTGGCAATCTACAAGACGTCAGTGTGCATTTCATGACACCGCTACGTTACCTCTCCTCGAAACAGCTAGTGCTGTGACGTAGAATCCAAAGTGACTTTATCAAAATACCTAAAATGTGTTTATAAATATCTGACGCTTACGATCTTCTTACAGAGTGTGAATTTCTAGAACTCCCACTCGAGCGTTTCCTCGCGGTTGGCGGCCCGTTCCAGGCGATGGATGATGTTGTTGAGGTTGGCCATCTTCTCGTTGCGTCTCTGAGTGCTTTTGTTGAGTTTGGAGTTGTGCGAGGGCGAGCTCGGCGGGTGATGATGGCTTGGGGCCGGTGGGTTGGGTGGCGACGGGGAGATGGGGGCGGAAGAGGATGGGACAGGGGACACGGACATCATGAGGCCAGGCGAGGACGCGGCGGAGGGCGAGTTGAGCGACACCTCCAGGCTGCTCCGGGATGGTTCGGACGAAGCCTTGAAGCTGACGGGATCCTCGGGCGACTTCTCCAGCTCCTCGTCCTCATGGCTGTTCCTCTGCGGCTCCTCGTCTTTGACGCCCAGCGAGCGGTGCGGGGGCGTTTCCGGGTCGCTTTTGAGCTGGGCAAACTGAACGGCGATGGAGAAGCTCTTGGCCTGCCGCAGACGGAGCTCCTCGTCTTCATCCGGCTCACTGGTCTCCTGTTTGACAGCGAAGCGGCGCGGGGTGGCGCTCAGAGGGCGGCTGTGAACGGCCGAGGGCTGCTTCCTGTCGTCGCGGTCGGATGTGGGGCTGTGGGATGTCAGCGGGGAGTAGTTGTTGTGCTCGGCGTCAGTGTCGTTGTCTTGGAGACCCTGCATCAGGACCTCTCGCCGCATACGGGACCTGTTGAAAGGATGATGATGAAACAAAGAGGAAACACATTTACTGTTTTTATTTTTAGCAGTATGCTATATTGATGTCACACATAATCAATCAACGTTGTTATTGTTAACTAAAACTATTTAAAAACAATCAGTAATTCAATATAAATATTAGATGCAAAAAATGAAAGAAATAAATTTTGTCTTGGAAATGTGTATCTGAAATAAATAAGTGGAAATGCTAAAATTATTAAAAATGAAATAAAAATTAATTAACCCTTTAACTGTCACCGTCCCACCTGTGGGACGCTTGGCGCTCTCTTTCATCACATATTTTAGCAGTCATCATATATCATTTGAAAGCTTAAAACCTTAAAATTCATCCTGTGGAAACTATTTTGAAATTGTAGATTGTGTTACCATGGAAATGGTACTTTAAATCTTTTGGCGGTCTCCTCCCCCTTAGCAGGCGGGGTCAAATGTCATATTACAAAATGTATTACGATTACTTTTACAATCCAAACTTATTAAAATCTTGACAAAATACATATCGTTGGAAAGGTCTGAGTCTCACAATTCCATATGTTGTGATAGAAGTCAAATTAACAGAGAAATGTAGACATTTGTGGCAGAAAAAAATGCATGAAAAAAAATTCTGTGGAGTTTGGGTTTGATACTTTCATATTTTGAAATAATTTCACTTCTGCAATAATTTTGTGATTGTGATTCAAAAGCGTTCATGATTTATAACAATTTAAGTTTGGATAGTGCACTTTCACGTCTATGTTCAAAAATGGGTGGTGACAGTTAAAGGGTTTTTAAAAATATACAGAAATATTTAAACGAAAAAGACAAAAAAATTTGAAAAGCACATAACAAAATAACTAAAACTAAGATTAAAAATAAAACTGAAAATATCAAAATAAAAGCTAATTCAAAATATTATTAAATACTACAATTGTATATAATAACACTGTATCTCACTACATTGAATGAAATAAAATGAATAAACCTATATATAAATTTAGAAAATAATACAAATTAAAAATTAAAATACAAAAATAAAAACTAATTCTAAATATTAATAATATATCAATAACACTAAAATAATTCTAGTTCTCAGCAAATCCAGTTATTGTCTTTAAATTAACATTTTAAATCTAATCTATTAGTGAACTGTCTTTTGGACCAATAAAAGAGAGGATTCTCAGTTTGAAAGCTTTGCATCGTACACAGTGCGCTCTGGTAGTGATTGGGGGGACCAAAGGTATAATTTTAAGAATTTGTCACTGAAAACGTTGGAATTTTGGGGGGTATGTTGGAAAGGTCATGCCACAGTACAGGTGTAGTTACAGGGTTCTCTTGTCTTTCTGTTTTAAACTCCTCAATTGTCCAGCAGGTAGAGCCAAACTCCCATTCACAAAGCTTCAGACGCAAAACTCCTTTAGGACATCTCTTTTAGCTGTCTTTACAAGGTAAAAAGCAGAGCACAGCGGATTCGGACCTGTAGTTGTGGAACCAGTTGATGACGGTGTTGGTTTTGAGGTTGAGTTGAGCGGCCAGCATCTCGATGGTGTGCTGCGAGGGATACGGCTCCTGCAGATACGCCTTCCTCAGAGCCTCCTTCTCCTCGGCCGCCAGCACCACGCGGGGTTTCTTGGCCTGGCTGAAGGGGCAGAGCTCCAGCGGAGTCAGACCCGGACTGATGCAGTCTGAATGAGCGCCGGGGGAATCGCTGTCTGAGCCGGGACTCAGCAGACCGTATCGCCTCTTCAGATACGCTGGAGAAAACCAACACATTCTGTTTTACAGCAGTCTGCTACTTGAGACCACTTTACAAATTATGATCAACTGCATCTTCACAGCAAGTGGGTCAGATGTAATATAATGATAAAAAGAGTCTAAGTTGAAATGCTAAAACAAAACAAAAGCTACAATAAAAACTCATTAAAGCTACTGTATATACAAATATTTAAAATAATAATAAAAATGACACAAATGCACATAAAATTACAATTTCAACTAAAGAAAATCGAAAATATAGAAACATAAGCTAATTCCAAATATTAAATACTATAATAGCATATAAATTGCACTAAAACTGGATCTCACGACATTGCATATGTGCAATTCAGCAAATCCACTTATTGTCTGAAAAATAGACATTTTATTAATAAAGTCTGAATCAAAAAACGCATATAATAATCGGTCATATAATGTATAACAATGATAAAAATTGAAATGTTAAAATTAATCAAACTAAAACTACAATAAAAATCATGAAAATGGCAAAAGTGCTCAAATTAAAAGGAAAACGAAAAATGAAAAAAAATAAAAGCGAATTCAAAATATTAATAAATACTGTAATAGTAGATAAATAAATGTATCATTTTTATACATTTCTTTTTTTAAATTTCTATATAGCTTAATTGTTTCAGTTTTTGAAATGTTAGTATTTTAGTTGTCAAGGCAACATTTCTTATTTTCATTTAACATTTTAAGTTTTTATTCTAATATTTATATTTGATTTTATGAAGAAAATGATTTTGAATAGATTGAACAACATAGTATATAAAATAAGCATATAAATGACACTGGATCTCACTATTTGAAATCAAATTTATTAATAAAATGTCTTAAAATGTAGATCTAAAAAAACCCGAAACGGCACAGAATCAGTGAAGAACTGAATCAATGTCTGTTCTCTTACCTTTCTTCTCCATTTTCTTGACGTCTCGGAGTTTGTCGACGTTGTGCGGGTCGTTGAGCCACAGCTGCATGCGGACGAACGGCTCACGGCCCTTCAGACTGAGCTTATGCCAGGGCTTCGGTCTGGACAGCAGGTCAGACACTGAACCCTGAGTCAATCCCAGAATGCTCTCTCCAAACAGACGCTGACCTGAAGCAACACACACGTATACTTACAGTTACCAATCCAGCTCCAGTCCTTAGAATTCTCCTTAGATGCACATTCAACATGAATCAGTTCAAAACTGTCGTTTCAATGAACTGATTCGAAATTGATCTTGTTTAAACTACAGTTCATTTTAAAGAAATTAACACTTTTATTCAGTAAGGATGCATTAAATTGATCAAAAGTGACAGTAAAGACATTTATAATGTTATCCCCCGAACTTTCTATTCATTAAAGAATCCTGATTTAAAATGTATTTCCACAAAATGTGAAGCAGCACAACTGTTTTTAACATTGATAATAATCAGAAATGTTTCTTGAGCAGCAGATCAGCATATTATACTGATTTCTGAAGATCATGTGACACTGAAGACTGGAGTAATGATGCTGAAAATACAGCTGCGCATCACAGGAATAAATTACATTTTAAAATATATTAAAATAGGCTTATTTAAAATTGTAATAATATTTCACAATATTACAGTATTTAACAGTATTTTTGATCAAATAATGCAGCTTTGGTAAGCAGAAGAGACTTCTTTAATAAACATTAAAAAATCTTTATTATTCCAACTTTTGACCGGTAGTGTATACTATTATAGTATGCAGTGTACTATATATAGTATACTATATTAATACTTTGATTTACCTTTGATTTTTATATTTTCAGTTTCATTTTTAGTTTGTTCAAGCAATTTTGTCACATGATTTTGTCATATTCATGTCGTTTTATTTATGCAGCTTTAATTAGTGTATATAATAGTATAGTATTTATTGATATTTTGAATCAGCTTTTATTTTTAGATTTTCAGTTTTCATTTGAATTTCAGTTTGTTTTAATAATTTTGCTACATGATTTTGTCATTATTTTTTTGACACCTAAAGCTTCTTATAGCTTTAATTCATCTTTACTTTAGTTTTAAGAATTTTAGTACTTCAACGTACACTTATTTATTTATAAAGGCAATGTTTCTATTTTTCATTCAACATGTTTTTCATCTAATATAATTTTTTATATATCATTTTAATTACAGAAAACTATTTCTAATAGTTTTAGTTAGCAGTAACAACATTTGATCAAATAAATGCATCCTTGGTGTAGCACAAAAATACCCAAACCTTATCAAAAATCTTCATTTTACATATAATAAAATGCTGACATTCATACAGCGCTGTGTATGTCGTGCTGTAAATCACCTAAGTTGTTGTCGGTCAGCACTTCTTTCACTCTCTTGGTGATGGCGTACGTGTCCAGCTCCGGAGACATGGCCACCAGCTCCTGGATGCCCAGCGGCGTGTGGGGCTGCTCCGTCATGCCCGGCGTGCTCTTCCCTCCGTGGGGCTCGGCGTGCTGCGGCTGCTGGTTCTCCTTACTGCTCTCCAGCGCCAGACTCACGGGCTCCAGGGTCATGCTGGGGTGTCCGTCCTCAGGACTCGGAGGAGGGGACGGGGACGAGCGGCTCGTCACGGGGCTCTTATCTGAGAACCAACAACCAAAGATTATAATAATTATTACAGTCAGAAGAGTTTTACATTTATTGGTTACGTTAAAACACTCAAATAATGCAATACCATGTCTATGGAAGGATAACAAGAAGATTTCAACTAGAAACTAAAATTACTCAATATTTTTGTCTTGTTTTTCAATTCAAATATATACACATACTTGAATAAAAATGTTTTTTTTTAAAGTGAGTTTATGCTTAAAACAAGACAGAAAAAAAATCTGCCAGTGAGGTAAGAAAAATGACTGTTATTTTAAAAACTTGAATTAAGTTTATTTTTCTTACCCCACTGCCAAATATTTGTTCATGTTTTAAGCATAAACTCTATTAATTTAGATGTTTTTTTGTTTTTTTTTAAAGAAACCAAGAATGAATATCTTAAGTCATTTTGCTTCTCAAGTAAATGTATATTGATTTAAGAATTTTTAGATATTTATTCTGGAAAATAAGAAGATTTTTTTTTTTTGCAATGTAGGAAATAAGAAATTGTATTTTGCATAGAGTAAATAAAGCTTAACTTTAATATGTTCAGCATTTTGCCATCAGAACTATCATTACGGAGAAAATGATTTTTTTCTCACTGTAATAAAACATTGTAATTGACACTATAAATGATGTTTTAAAATGTTATTTATAATTTTTATAATAATTATAATTTATATTACACATTTTCATCATTTTATTTTTAACCTGATTGTGTTCAGCTGTTGTAAGACTCTCATTACTATACTTTTTTTAGCGAAATGCAGAAAAAAACAGTTATTTTATTTAAGCAGCACAGAGTGAAGCTGAACTTGAAAATGTTTTGCATTATGCTTTCATTTTCATGACAATTAAAAAGATTTGAATGCCAAAAGCAGAATGTCAAAAGTCTCTTTACTTTAATATGAAAAAATATTATAATGTATATTGCATATTATTAATATAGTTATTATTTATTATATATTATTTATTTATTTTCATTTTTTTAATATGTTTAAATATTTTTTTATTTGAATCCAATTGTTTTCAATTGTTCCAAGAATATCAGATAAATATTTTTATCAAAATACAGGAAAAAATAAACCCCAATGATATTATTTAAACATTATAGCATGACTACTATGTAATAGTAATTCATATTTAAACCTAAACTTCTCAGAATTACAGAAATGAGCAAAAGCCCCTCTGGCTGTGTGTAGGATGGGCTGTTAGTGCTGGTGATCATGACTGACCCTGACCGTGGCTGTGGTTGGACAGCTGGTTGAGTCCGTGACCCAGCTGGTCCAGCAGCCAGAGCTGCATGCGTATGAACGGCTCGCGGCCCTTCTGAGTGAGCTTACTCCAGGGTTTAGGTCTGGATAACATGTCACTCACGCTGCCCTGAGACAAACCCAACACCTGCCAGAGACACACAGACATTCAAATGAGTCTGAACTAATAATGCTCGTAATAAAACCAGAACCTTACTGTTTGAAATCAGCTTTTCACTGGCAGATATTCAAGCGACCACTAGATGGCAGGAAAAGACAATCCAAGAGCTTCAGATTGCACTGGCACTAGTTTCCGATTTTTTTTTTTTTAAAGAACGTACACATTAAATTGGTCAAAAGTGACATCTATAATAATACAAAAGATTTCTGTTTCAAATAAATGGTGTTTTTTCTTTTCTTGGAAAAAATGTATCACGGTTTTCACAAAACTATGAAGCAGCACGACTGTTTTCAACATTGATAATAATAAAAAATGTTTCTTGAGCAGCGAATCAGCATAATAGAATGATTTCTGAAGGATCACGTGACACTGAAGACTGGAGGAATGATGCTGAAAATACAGCTGCGCATCACAGAAATAAATTATATTTTAAAATGTATTACAATAGAAAAGCAAGTTATTTTAAATTGTAAGAAAATTCCTCAATATTACTGATTTTCCTGTATTTTTGATCAAATAACACAGCCTTGGTAAGTAAAAGAGACTTCTTTCAAACACATAAAAAAATCTTCCAAACTTTTTAACTTTAGTGTGTACAGTATATATATATTCATATTATTTTGCATGAATTTAAAGGGGTCCTATTATGCTCTTTTACAAAGTCTTGATTTTGTTTTGGGGGTGTACTAGAACAGGCTCTCATACTAGGTTGTTAGAAAACATTATTTTTCACATATTTTACATTATTACAACGCCTCTCTCCCCAGTCTGGCATGAACGTCTCGAATAGTTCCTGAGCCCGCCTTCTGAAATACGAAATGTGCTGTGATTGGTCAGCTGGGCCAGTGTGTGCTGTGATTGGTCAGCTGGGTCAGTGTGTGCTGTGATTGGTCAGCTGGGCCAGTGTGTGCTGTGATTGGTCAGCTGGGTCAGTGTGTGCTGTGATTGGTCAGCTGGGTCAGTGTGTGCTGTGATTGGTAGCACTCGGCACCTGGTCTGGAAATGTCATGCCCCTTACCATAGCCGCCTGCCAGCTTCAGTGTAAATATTGCATCAAAATCAAATCAATTTGAGTGCGATTTAAACCTGGATTGTAATCACTCTAAGTTCGTCTGTCTTGGGAAAGCTAGCGTGTCTCAGACATAGTGATAACACTCGTTGCCTTCTCTAGTGCAGCTCAACCAGGTCTCTTCCCATTCGTCGATATTTGTGATATCACAAATCCCGGAAAATATGTGTTGTAGTCCAAACGAGTCGTTCGTTGTAGTTTTTGAAAAGTGATTTCTGTTAAATAAAATATCTCCTTTTGAAGTGGATTTTGAGCTTTGTAACTTTGCAGATCTTTTTTATGCTCAAACAGCAACATTACAGACTAACTAAAGTTGAAAAAGTGAAAAAGCATAATAGGACCCCTTTAAGACAGGAGTATCACTACATTGTAAATTTGCTGTTATTTCTATTTTGGAATAACATGCACAGATTAATCATTCCCAATAAGACCAGAAACATGTATTAAGGAAGTAAATATGGTTTTGATTTAATGTCGTCAAAAAAATTTGACATTAATGTTGATTTGTGGGTATCAAATACCAAAACAGATGTATGCCGTTTCCACACAATAACATTACATTTGTGCCCGATTATTGTGGACAAACCATTTCATGCACCGATTCCTTTGATCTCGAGTCATTACATGAAAACTTGCTCTCCAGCTGTGCTGTTTTAGGACACACAAACAATCTCACAACAGGGTTATTATCATTAACTAAAAATAAAACCTTACATAAAACATTTTTGTTACTTGTACTAAAAATAAATGTTAACTAAAAAATATAATATAATATAATAATAGAAAAAGTAAAAAAACCTTAAACTTATTTTCAGTTAGTTCTAATCTTCGTTTATTTGAAGTACTAAAATAACAACTACAAAGAAAGAACCTTTAAAACAAAAAATACTAAAAATGTAAAAATTAAATTAAATTAAATTAAAAAATAAATAAATTAAATTAAAATGGAAAATACAGAGAATATAAAAATAAAAACATTTTAAAATATTAATAAAAAATTATCAGTATATTAATGATACTAATAAAAGACGCACCAAATACTGAAGTTTGTAAATGGAAAATATTTTGGTGTGTAAGCAAGAAAACAATTTCAACAAGAATGTGTTTGCACACATAATCGTAGAAAAATTAAGATATTTTTAATGGACATATTTGAACTTGAGAAATGGTGTGTACTGACGTCTTTCTGCGGTTGAAACAAGATACCTTCTGATGTTCATTCAGGTTTATTCCGTGCTATAACTAGTAAAGAGGAGGAGATGATCAGTTCATGAGCTGCTACAGCGATCTGTCACCACACAACATAGAGCCACAAAACGGTATTTATTGTTTGAATTTCTTTAAAAAATGACAGAATTTGAAAGTTGAGACTTTGTTTCATACCAGAAGTAACCTGCTCTGTCCTGTCTGTCGGTTTCCTCTTTGCTCTGCGATGTATTTTTCACTGCGTGAGAACATGACGAGTGGCTTGTCGGACGTAGCAACAGTAACTAAGTGGGGCGGGTCTTTGCGACGGGTCAGTTGTGATGCAGTAATAGTTTTGTATGTCTATGATTGTTAGCACACATATTGATGCTTCATGCTACTGGGTAAATTAAGTTCCCTTTCTAAGTCTTTCTAACTTCTCTACATATCTCTACTGCAACACTGATGACGATTTTAATGGAAAATGTTTTGTCTTTGCACTGAGCATGTTGCAATATTTTTAAATTTTCTTTGATAATGTGTGTGCGAGCTTCTCCTGTTGTTGGACTTTGCTATATATAACCCCACCTTCTCTCCGAAGATCCTCTGGCAGATCCCGTTCTTGGCCAGTTTTTCCTTCACCTGCCGGGTGAGTTCGAGGGTGTCCACCTCGCGGTACATGTACATCTCGTACTGCTCCGGGGTCAGCGGCGGGACAGTGGGCTTCAGGGTTCGGGGGATGTAGGTGGGGTAGTATGATACTCGTCCTCCTCCGCAGGGCGGCTCACCGCTGACCGACGCGTCCGGCTCCACCTTGATCTCCACCTGCCGTCCCAACATGGGCTCGTCCTCTGGCGCGGACGTTTCCTCGCCGTTTGCAGGGCAGTCTCCGTTCTCCATCCGCGGCCAGGGACGAGGCATGGACGAATGTCCCGTGGACGAAGAGGAGGAGAGCGACGGAGACACGGAGGTGAACGGGTGAGAGCTCACGCCCATCACGACCGCACTGCGTTCGGCGGACCAGTGCTGGTCGAAATACGCACCAGCATCGCCGATCTCTGACTTCACCTTACGGATGATGTTTTGGACAAAGGCGGCGGGAGACAGGACACTCAGAGGCATCTGAGGGCTGCCGGTGGGATTGGACACGCACATCGGCACGGACACATTCTCTTCCTGTTTGATGAAGGGCGGAGTGGGGGGCAGCTGACCCTTGACAGGATCCTGCAGGGCGAGACGCTCGCTGGAGGACGCCCGGCCGCACACCTCCATCTCGAGCAGGGCCTGCTGCTGCGCCTGCATCTCTCGACGGGCCTGTTCCAGGATGCTCTTGATGGTTTCGTCAGAACTGCTGCTTCCTCCAGAGCTGTTACGTCCTGATGAAAAGCCCAGAGACGACTTACAATCACCTGTCCAACACAAACAGATCAGAACGTGAGTTTGCATTGCTAGTCAAAAGTAGTTGTAACTTGACATGGCTTCTTTATAAAGTTGCGCTTGTGGTGCGCAAGACACACCATATCAGCCAAACTAGCACTAGCACGTGTGTAGAACAACGATAATTTTTTTAATTAAAAATTATAATAAATAAATAAATAAATTATTTTAATCTTACCATATTTATAATATTAAAACATAAACGTTACAAATTAATATTAAATATTTATGTAATAGTAAATGTGTAAATAGTAAATAGTAAGTAGTAAACGAATTACGTATATTAATATTTTGTATTTGATAATACAATAATAAAATAAATCTTTAAAATATTTCATTATTATAAAAATTATTATTATAACAGCCAAACTAGCACTAGCATGTGTGTACACAAATAATTATTTATTAAAATGATTATAACAAATAAATAAAATAATAAATTATTTTAAAATATAATATTACATTTTTAATCTTAAAATATAATCAAATTATATATAATATTAAATATTTATATAATAGTAAAAATGCAATGATATTAATATTTTTCATTTGATAATACAATAACAAAATAAACATTTAAAATATTTAATTATCCTAAAATATTATTAATATTTAAAATATTATACATATAACATTAAAAGTATTTAATTGTATTCATATTTTGTATTTGATAAAATAATACAATAATAAAACAAGTATTTAAAATATTTAATTAATATAAAAAGAATTATTATTATTTAAAATAATGTATTAACAATTAAACAGAGCAGACAGACATGTTATTAATAGTGTGTTTCCTGGGATATTGAACCCATAATTTTGTCATTGCTTGCACCTACAACACTGCAAACTTATTTTTGTCTTTTTATCTCAACATCCTTCGATAAACAAGATAAATTGTGCAAGATATTAAGAGAATATATTTTCTGAGAATATCTTTAAATGTGTTAAATATGTTTCCAAATATATGCTTATGCATGCTTACATTTTTTGTTCTATTATAAAAAATATTATTAAAAATATTTAATGCTCTAAGACACTGTAAAAATATTTTTTAATCTGTATATTTGTCTTTATATCTCAACATCCTTTAATAAACAAGATACATTTACTTTAGAAGCAAAATTACATAAGACAGTAAGATAATATATTTTTAGAGAACATAATTTTAAATTATTTTTTGGCCATTTTTGTTATTATTTTAAATATAATTCATTTATTTTAGTATATACCTCATTTAATGTTGCTATAGCTAGGCTTAAATATATATTTAAGCATATATTTATTTAATAAATTGAATTCAGGATATAGTCACATAACTTGGCTCCTCAGATACCAGGCTTATTTTTGTCTTTTTATCTCAACATCCTTCGATAAACAAGATAAATTGTGCAAGATATTAAGAGAATATATTTTCTGAGAATATCTTTAAATGTGTTAAATATGTTTCCAAATATATGCTTATGCATGCTTACATTTTTTGTTCTATTATAAAAAATATTATTAAAAATATTTAATGCTCTAAGACACTGTAAAAATATTTTTTAATCTGTATATTTGTCTTTATATCTCAACATCCTTTAATAAACAAGATACATTTACTTTAGAAGCAAAATTACATAAGACAGTAAGATAATATATTTTTAGAGAACATAATTTTAAATTATTTTTTGGCCATTTTTTTTTTTAATTATTTTAAATATAATTCATTTATTTTAGTATATACCTCATTTAATGTTGCTATAGCTAGGCTTAAATATATATTTAAGCATATATTTATTTAATAAATTGAATTCAGGATATAGTCACATAACTTGGCTCCTCAGATACCAGGATGTTTTTTTGTTTGTAGTGAAGTAAGTCATTTTGGACAACGAGAAGAAGATTCCAACAAACATCAGGCATCCTATTATGTTAAAGAATCCTATAACAGTCACGTATGCGCAGATCAAAGCTGGTTTTGTGTGTGTAGGTAGCAGTGTTCATAAACTGCCTGTGGATTTGGTGTCTTTGTACCCACCTCTTTGTGACTGGATCTCCTTCTTGGCCTGCTCTAGAATGTTCTTGATGGCATCATCTGACCCAGTTTCAGGAGTTCGGATGCGAGGAGTGATGCTCCCTATCAGAGAGGGTAAAGGAGAGAGAGGAGGTGAGGTGAGTGGGCCGGCTGATCAGAGAGCAGCTCCAAAGCCTCGCGTTTGATTGCTAGATCAATAGCTGCCTTTGAGAAGCTGGCATCAAGTGAGGGTGCACTAACACGTGAACGCTTTACTTTCAAACCCAGAGCTGAGAGCATCACAACAAACGCAGGGTTTGGGAGGGAGCGCGGAAGCTAGAAACGCTTGTACAGGAAACCGGACTAGTTCTCTCTGGGGGTCTGAAATGGTTCGGTGGGGTTTAGAGGGATGAGACATCTTCAGGATGTCAGACTGGCCTGTGGGATTGAGCGAAGACATGAAACACAATTCACAAACCATTGAACTTCCATAATGTGGAATCAAATCAGAAGGAAATAGCAGGTGGACAATATTGGTTGTGATTTTATATATTTTTATCATGATATTGTGTAGAAGAAATATAGCCTTTATGGTTATTTAAAATTCATGCATTATTGTTGTATTTACTGTAAGTCAACATTAACCCTTACTCTAAAATCTGATTTGTTAATATTAATGTTGTCTTAGGACCAATAAGGATGCTGCTCCAAGAAGATCTTTTGCTTGACACAAACGTAAATTCACCAAATGTATCCAACAAAAATACTATCATATGTTAAATAAATAAATATGCTTTATTAATACAGCATTATTAAACATTTGATCTCATAAAATGTTCAGGTGTATTGTCATTTGTAATGTTAGGATATGTAAGGATTATTAATAATTATTTTATAATTATATTATTTTATAAGTGTGTGTATATATATATATATATATATATATATATATATATATAATATTTACTTTGAATCATTTGTAATTTTTTGTAAATGTAATATTTTATTTTAATCATTAATTAATCATTAATTGCTTCATTTTGATGAGAAAAAAATCATTAATTTATTCATATAAATATTTTAAAATGCATATGAATTTATTATATATTTCAGGTTGGTCTTGCTAATATTTATTTTTTACCATTTGTAATTTTTCTTAAATTAATATTGAATTTTAATCATTAATTTAATTTAAATTAATAATGTATTTAATATTTTAATAATTTAATAATTATTTAATTTATTACTATCAAAATAAAATATGGGAAAAAAATATATATACACACATTAGAAAAAAATAATCTTTATTATTAATAAATAAAAACAATACATATAAAGTGTTTAGCATGATACAGTTTAGCATTATTTTATTAAAGGGGTCATATGATGCGATTTCAATTTATCCTTTCTCTTTGGAGTGTTACAAGCTCTTGGTGCATAAAGAAGATCTGTAAAGTTGCAAAGACTAAAGTCTCAAATCCAAAGAGATATTCTTTATAAAAGTTAAGAGTCAGCCACGCCTACCTAAAACGGCTCGTTCTAACACGACCCCACATGTCTACGTCACTATGTGGGAAGATTTGCATAACGCCGCCCAAATGTTCACGCAAAGAAAGAAGGCGTAACTTTTATTCTCGCTGTAGTATTGTTGCTGCCGCCGCCGCCATGTCGTGAAGACGCTGTGTGCTTCGTTGTGAAAGCGAAACTACTTTGTTTGGTCTTCCAAAAGAGGACGATATCCGCTTCGTCATGCCTGGAGCTGATCCGTGCTGGTCGCTGAAGAAATACGTCAACTTCATGGTGTGGATCGCCGGATCGGCTTTCACCGTGGACGAAGCAGAGTCCAGCCCGGGGTCGTCACATGTGGTTGCCGCAAGCCCGCTGGACGCTCCTTTGTTGAATCCGCCGCCTCTGCTCACTCTAGCCCTCCAGCCGTTCCTCACTTTATCCCCCGGTCTCTGCTCACTCTAGGCCGCCGTGTGTGACACACACTCACTCTCACACTATCACGCTCACTCACACGCACACACTATCACGCTCACACACACACACACTCACTCTCACACTATCACACTCACTCACTATCACACTCACTCACACACACTATCACACACTCACACACACTATCACACTCACTCACTCACTATCACACTCACTCACTCACTATCACACTCACTCACACACACTATCACACTCACTCACACACACTATCACACTCACTCACACACACACACTATCACACTCACTCACACACGCACACTATCACACACTATCACTCTCACTCACACACGCACACTATCACACTCACACTCTCACACACACACTATCACACACTCTCACACACACACTATCACACACTATCACACCTCACTCACACACACTCACACACTATCATACTCACTCACACACTATCATACTCACTCACACTCACACACTATCATACTCACTCACACACACACACACACTATCACACACGCTCACTCACACGCACACACTATCATACTCACTCACACTCACACACTATCATACTCACTCACACACTATCACACTCACTCTCACACTCACTCACTCTCACACTCACTCACTCTCACACTCACTCACTCTCACACTCACTCACTCTCACACTCACTCACTCTCACACTCACTCACTCTCACACTCACTCACTCTCACACTCACTCACTCTCACACTCACTCACTCTCACACTCACTCACTCTCACACTCACTCACTCTCACACTCACTCACTCTCACACTCACTCACTCTCACACTCACTCACTCTCACACTCACTCACACACACTATCACACCCGCTCACTCACACGCACACACTATCATACTCACTCACACACTATCATACTCACTCACACACACACACTATCACACACTATCACGCTCACACACACACACACACTATCACACTCACTCTCACACTATCACGCTCACACACTATCACACTCACTCACTATCACACTCACTCACACACACTATCACACTCACTCACACACACACACTATCACACTCACTCACACACACACACTATCACACTCACTCTCACACACTCTCACTCTCACACTCACCCACACACACTCTCACACACACTCACACACACACACTCTCACACTCACTCACACACACACACTATCACACTCACTCACACACACACACACACACTATCCCACTCACACACACACACACACTATCACTCTCACACACACACACACTATCTCACACACTCACTCACACGCACACACTATCACACACACTCACTCTCACACTATCACACTCACACACTATCACACTCACTCACACACACTATCACACTCACTCACTCACTATCACACTCACTCACTCACTATCACACTCACTCACACACACTATCACACTCCTCACACACACTATCACACTCACTCACACACACACACTATCACACTCACTCACACACACACACACACTATCACACTCACTCTCACACACACACACACTCTCACTCTCTCACACACACTCACACTCACACACACACACTATCTCACTCACTCACTCTCTCACACACTCACTCACTCACACACTCACTCACTCACTCACTCACTGTCACACTCACTCACACACTCACTCACTCACACACACTATCACACTCACACACTATCACACTCACACACACACACTATCTCACACACTCACTCACACACTCTCTCACTCACACACACTATCACACTCACTCACACACACACACACACTCTCACTCTCACACTCACACACACTCTCACACTCTCACACACACACACACTCTCTCACTCTCACACTCACACACACTCTCACACTCTCACACACACACACACTCTCTCACTCTCACACTCACACACACTCTCACACTCTCACACACACACACACTCTCTCACTCTCACACTCACACACACTCTCACACTCTCACACACACACACACACTATCACTCTCACACTCACACACACTATCACACTCTCACACACACACTATCTCACACACTCACTCACACACACTATCTCACACACTCACTCACACACTATCACACACACTCAGTCACACACTATCACACTCTCACACACTATCACACTCTCACACACTATCACACTCTCACACACTATCACACTCTCACACACTATCACACTCTCACACACTATCACACTCTCACACACTATCACACTCTCACACACTATCACACTCTCACACACTATCACACTCTCACACACTATCACACTCTCACACACTATCACACTCTCACACACTATCACACTCTCACACACTATCACACTCTCACACACTATCACACTCTCACACACTATCACACTCTCACACACTATCACACTCTCACACACTATCACACTCTCACACACTATCACACTCACACACTATCACGCTCACACACACACACACAC